ATGCTGTATGGGGTTCCCCCACCCCCTTTATTTTCTGCCTAGTATTGTCAATTCTTGTTTTCAGAGTAAATTCTTACCTGATAATAAACAGCATGAACATTCCGTCGTCATCCAGTCTTCATGTTGATAACAAGAATAATAGTGATGATAATACAATCAAACACATGTGAGTGTCATTCGGTACCAGGCACAGTTTTAAGCACTCTACAAACGTCAGCCCATTTAATCCTTATTATCTCCCTCTGCGTTTGGTATTTTACTGTCTTCATTTACAAGAAAAGGAGGCATTGAGAGGTTAAGCCTTTTTCTCAAGGTCATACAGCTGGCAAGGAGTGATGTTGGAGTTTGAATCCAGGCAGTCTGGATTCAGAATAAACCATCCATTGAACTCCCGTTTCAGCAGAAAACCATGATATACTCAATCTTGTAAAGTGAAAAGAGAAAACGGAATAATAACTAGAAAAAGTTAATTTATATTTTGTTATTAATAGTGTGTGTGTGTGTGTGTGTGTGTGTGTGTGTGTGTCAAGGCTACTGAAGAGATAGCTGAAATTGTAATGGTATTTGCTGCTATAACATTTGATTTCTACTTCCTCCTTCCTAGCAGAGGGGAATCTAGTTGTATTCTGCCCTCAGTATTAATGCAGTGACTCGTATACAGAGGAACACAATAAATGATGGTGGTGTATTGTGTTATTGGGAAGGAGGTTGTTTGGGAATCTATTCAGTCAGCTTCTGGGATTATAATAAATGACTTCAAGTTTTCACTTTTGGGAAAATTCTGACTCTCTAGCTCAGAAGTTTGACAACTTTCTCTCTAAAGGGCCAGATTAAAACTATTTTAGGATTCTGGGGCCATATGTTCTCCTGTCCATCTCAGCCGTAATACTGTGAAAGATACCCAAGAAAATATGTACACAAATGGGTTTGACTGTGTTCCAATAAAAGTTTATTTCCAAAAACAGGTGGAGGGCTGGTTTTAACCCCGAGGCCAAAGTTTGTGTATTCTTGCTCTAGCTGCTAAAGCAGAGCAATGGGTATTGAGGAATTTACTTTGTTTTCATGATGATCATCTTCTAACATGCTAAGGGGTTTTGCACATTTGTGAAGATCTCAGTGCTGGGTGATGTGCTGTGAATTTACTTTGGATATTCCAAGGTGTCAGATCTATGACCTTCAAAACCATCAGTTACTGCACTCTTGGCACTTAAGAGACTGTTGTTGTTTGATGCTATTGCATCCATTCTGACCACCTCAGGGGACAGAGTAAAGACCCCTGGGGTGAAGTGCATAATATGATAAGTTGCTTAACCAAAAAGGTCAGTGGTTTGAATCCATTAGCCACTTTGCAGGAGAAAGATGAGGCAGTCTTCTCCTGAGAGAATTTAGAGCCTCAGACTCCTGAAGGGAGATCATCGTGTGTGTCGACTCCATGCCTCACAAGGTTTTCAGGGCTGGAACCTTTATAGGGGGAACTCTAGTAGCTTACTGTTAGAGGTTGCATTGCCAACCCAAAAGTCACAACTTTTTGGCAATTTGAATCCATAGGAGAAAGATGGACACTAACCTCCTATGAGATTTACAACCTCTGCAAACCTGCTGGAGGGTCAGCTGTGAGTCTGTTCTGCCTTGACAGTAATGAAAGACATGCATGCATGCTTGTGCCCCCACAGAGTAAGAGAGCAGGCACAAGAGTGGGAGAGAGAGAGAGAGAGAGAGAGAGAGAGAGAAAAGAAGAAGAAGAAGAAGAAGAA